CTCCGTGAATTACATTTAGGCAGTAACAGTATTGGAGATGAAGGAGCATTAGCCCTTGCTCAGTCTCTGCATCGGAACAATACTCTCCAGTTCCTAAACTTGTCACATAACAGTATTGGTGATGAGGGAGCAATAGCCCTCGCTCAGTCCCTTCATCAGAACTCTACTCTCCAGATCCTAGACTTGTCATTTAACAGTATTGGTGATGAGGGAGCAATAGCCCTCGCTCAGTCCCTTCATCAGAACTCTACTCTCCAGATCCTAGACTTGTCATTTAACAGTATTGGTGATGAGGGAGCAATAGCCCTCGCTCAGTCCCTTCATCAGAACTCTACTCTCCAGAGGCTATACTTGCCATCTAACAGTATTGGTGATGAGGGAGCAGTTGCCCTCTCTGAGTCTCTTTATCAGAACTCCACCCTTAAGATTATAGATCTGGGGGGGAACAGTATTGGTGATGAGGGAGTGGTTGCCTTAGCTAGGGTACTTCATCACAACTCTTCCCTGGTAAAGATTGATTTGGCAAGAAACAGTATTGGTAGCAACGGAACAGTATCTCTATCACAAGCCCTTCATCGTAACTCTACCCTTCAGGAACTGGACTTATCCTATAACTGCATTGGTGATGAAGGAGCAATAGCCCTCGCTCAGTCTCTTCATCAGAACTCCACCCTTAAGATTATAGGTCTGAGTAGGAACAGTATTGGTGACAGTGGAGCAGTAGCCTTAGCTGAGTCTCTTTATCTGAACTCCACCCTTAAGATTATAGATCTGAGGAATAACAGTATTGGTGATAGTGGAGCAGCAGCTTTAGCTGTGGTATTTCATCACAACTCTTCCCTGATAAAGATTGATTTGTCACAAAACACTATTGGTAGCAACGGAGCAGTATCTCTATCACAAGCCCTTCATCGTAACTCTACCCTTCTGGAACTGGACTTATCCCATAACTGTATTAGAGATGAAGGAGCAATAGCCCTCGCTCAGTCTCTTCATCAGAACTCTACTCTCCAGATCCTTCACTTGTCAAATAACAGTATTGGTGATGAGGGAGCAGTTGCCCTGGCTCGAGCTCTCCTCAAGAACCACTCTCTGCAGATGTTTTGGTTGACAGGCATCGTTGGCATTGGTGAAAGAGTCGCTAGTGAATTTGTGCAGGCCCTGGCAAAAAATTTGTCCATAAAAAGAATGACTCTCTCTAAGGATATTAAGAAATATGCTGTGAGATGTCCAAACTATAATGAAGTAGAGGAAAAACTATATTTTTTGTAGTGATCTCAGTGTGAGGTGCAAGAAAACATGTGTGAGTTGATAATAAAAGAATAACTGACAGGAAGGAGGGGTTTAAGTAAAGACAATGCAACAGCAGGCTCAGTTGTAATGTGATAGGGCAACATGTGTGGGAATACCGAAACACCAATTTTGAATTGTTTTTCGTTGAGTTTCAAAGTGTTCTTAATCTTCATTAGCTATCTTTGAAATTAAGCCAGCATATGTCATGTCCAAACTTCCCTACATATTATTCACAAATGGGGAGTATTGATCTTCCGGTGTCTCTCACAATTAATTGTGTAACTCTTGAAGAAAAGGAGAGTCAAACTATTGCAGATTATCTCTCCTCAACTACCTGCCTCAAGGAACTGAAATTGAATTTTTGCTCTGATAAAATGAAAATGGAGCCTATTCTTAGAGCAATGGCCACTAATAACTTATTGCCACTTAAAAGAATAGAATTAAAATGTGAGAGATGTCAAATAAATAAAACAGCTTATGGATATCTGCTCACATTTATAAAGAAGTACTACACTGCAGCACTTTTCAATGTCGTCTTCTGAAATTACTGCACATGAACTACAGGAATTATTGCATTCTGTTACCCACGAGCCTATACTTGAAGAAAAGTTGTTGGAAAACAGAAGTCAGTGAAGGAAGCTTCATACAGATGATGATGTCAAAGCCTTGAGTATAATATGCTCTTCGTATTTCGATTCAAGGAGGACAGATTTTATTAGATCTGTTGGAAGACTAATTGATGATGGAACAATTGTCCTGGCTGAAATTCTCCAACATAAGTATGGAATGGACTTCTCAGGTGTAAGTAATATTGGGGTTGTATCTTTGGCTAAGGCTCTCTATCACAATTCCACCATTTGTGTACTGAAATTGAACGGCAAAATTATAGGTGAGACTGGAGCAGTCTCTCTCTTTCAGACCCTTCATCACAACTCTACACTCCGTGAATTGCAATTAGCCCTTATATAATAGGATTGGTGATGTTGGAGCAACTGCCCTCTCTGAGTCTCTTCATCAGAACTCCACCCTTAAGATTATAGGTCTGGGGAACAACAGTATTGGTGATAGTGGAGCAGCAGCCTTAGCTGAGGTACTTCATCACAACTCTTCCCTGATAAAGATTGATTTGGCACTAAACAGTATTCGTAGCAACGGAGCAGTATCTCTATCACAAGCCCCTTGTAGAGTAACTATACAGATGATGATGGCAAAGCCTTGAGTCAAATATGTTCTTCATGTTTCGATTCAATGTGGATAAATTTTATTTGATCTGTTGGAGGACTAACTGATGATGGTACAATTGTCCTGGCTGAATATTTCCAGCACAAATACGAATCAAGAAAACTGAACTTGTTTGGGTATACAAGTAATGTTGGAGTCGTGTCTTTTGCTAAGGCTCTCTATCATAATCATTCATACAATGAAAATGAGTGTAGGTGATACTGGAGGAGTCTCTTCCTCTCATACCTTTCATCACAACATTAATTTGATTTAGACACAGTTATTGGTAATGAACGAGCAATAGTCTCACGGAGTCTCTTCATCAGAACTCTACTATCCAGAACTGGTCAAGCTATTGGTGATGAGAGAGCTGTTGCCCTGGCTCGAGCTCTCCATAAGAACCACTCTCTACAGAAGTTTTCTTTGAGAGGCATCGGTGACGTTGGCAAAAGAGTTGCTAGTGAATTGGTGCAACCCCTAGCAAAAACCTCATCCATAAACGAAATGATTTGCTCTTTAATGTTAAGAAATGCAATTTCCTCCTAGATGCTGCCATGCTCAATTCTTGTACTCCTTCCATCTGCACAACACTCAGCTGTTGTTAAAAACAGTCCATAATGACCCTGGTGTCATGTCGTGTTGTGTTCCGATATCAAGTGGTCTGATATTATGAATATACAATGGTCAAGTCATACAAAGTTCTTGGATTACTTAGAAGCGTCCTTTCCTCTGTTCACTGAGGTTCTCTACATAACTTTGGTTCGTTTTTATACACTGCTTTACTGCTCACCCATCTGCTGTCCTCATCTTCCATTTACAACTTGCACCTTGGAAGCAGAGAGTGCAGAGGCGGGCCACCAAATTCATTCTCAACCACTTCATTTCCAACTATCGTCTTTGTTTCCTCGACCTTCATATCCTATATATCACTATTGATGGTCCTTTATATTCCGTTCTTCGTAAAGTGTTTGAAAGAGCCATCGCCCCATTTTAACATCTCAGTTTCATCACATTCTGTTCAAGTTGAGACACACTCTTCTCTTCATCTTTATCTCCCCCAACTTTGACACCTCTCTCCTGTGAACTAATCTAAGTATGTTTGTTGTTTGTTTTGTGTCATTGGCTACTGGTGTATACCTCTAGCTGACCTTCAGCACTACCATCCTGATATTTATCCTACCTCTTGTATCATGCCTTCCTTATGTGCTGTAAAGTCATAATAGTATATAACTGTCAAGGTTATTATAGGTTTTGCCCCAGATTTGGAATTATTGTCTTATGGAATGCCTATTGACTGTTGATAACATTCTTGGCTGGAGAATTCACGGAAGAGAGGGCAAGAATGCGCGATTACGCAAAGCCTGCGACAACTTTCTCGCGTAGTCGAGGGGTGACGTGTATATAACACAGGCCTTTACTCCACTTGTCATCGTTGAATAACTAGTATTATAGGAGAGTGCATTTTTGGCGAGCGGGAGCGAGCACACAATAACTGTATCTGCACGAGCCATCCTAGCCTATTTACGAAGATTGGAAAGCCGTACAGCCTCGGCTAGGCATCGAAGAACGCAGCGAATCCTGCGAATGTGGACGAGATTTCTAGATCTGTCGCTGGCTATATAGATCTCGTATCGAGGATTAGGCAACGTGTATATAGGCTTGTAATCCAAATGCTTGCGCAGTTGTGGTCAAGAGTTTTGTTACCTCGTGTGTGATGCCTTTTTGTGTCGCACCGTAGCTATAGCAGAAAAGCAGCCGCTTCCGTTAACAAATAAAGCACCCAAAACCAGCCAGTGAAAATTACCTTCCCTGTCAGTAGTATAATAGGTATGGCAGTTGTTTGAGGAATGCACATCCATCAATGAAAAATGTCGTATCATCATAGCATGCAACCTTCTGGCATGATGTGAAAGGTAAAAGGGAACTTTGCTAGCCACATGATGCCACAAGATGATCTAATACTCCTTACCACATCCTGGGTGTCTTTCGCTGATGGGGTTGTGTCTTTGGCTAAGGCTCTCGGAAATAATCATCAAAACACAGAAAATGAGTGTAAGTGACACTGGAGCTCCCTCTCAGACCTTTAATCACAACATTATATTGATTTAGACACAGTTATTGGTAATGAAGGAGCAATGGTCTCACTGAGTCTCTTCTTCATCAGAACTCTACTCTCCAGATCCTGAACTGGTCAAGCTATTTGTGATGAGGGAGCAGTTGCCCTGGCTCAAGCTCTTCTTAATAACCACTCTCTGCAGCAATTTTCTTTGAGAGACATCGTTGGCATTGGTAAAAGAGTTGCTAGTGAATTTGTGCAGGCCCTAGCATAAAACTCATCCATGAACGGAATGACTCTCTGCATGGAGATATTAAGAAAGTGCTGTGAGATGTCCAAAGTATAATGAAGTACATTAAAAAAACTAAACTGATCTTTGGTAGATATTGATCTAATAGGCTAACCCTACCTGGAGTTTGCTATTTAACGTTAAAATGCTCTGTTCTCTCTTTTCCTCCTAGATGCTGTCATGCTCAATTCTCAAACTCCTACCTGCACAACACTCAGCTATTGTTAAAAACAGTGCAAAATGACCTAGGTGTCGTGTTGTCTTCCGATCTCAAATGGTCTGATATACAATGGCCAAGTCATACAAAGTTCTTGGATTACTTAGAAGAGTCTTTTCCTCTGTTCACTGCCCCCGGGCTGAAACATTCTCTACATAATTTTTCTTGGTTCTTTTCACTGCTTTACTGCTCACCCATCTGCCGTCCTCAATTTCCATTCACTATACTTGCACCTTGGAAGCAGAGAGTGCAGAGGCGGGCCACCAAATTCATTCTCAACACTACGTTTCCAACTGTCATCTTTGTTTCCTCGACCTTAATTTTCTATATACCACTATTGAGGGTCCTTATATTCTGTTCTTCGTAAAGTGTTTGAAAGAGCCATCGCCCCATTTTAACATCTTAGTTTATCACATTCTGTTCTGAACAAACTCCATCAGCCTCGCTTTTCAATTTGAGACACACTATTCTCTTCATCTTGATCTCTCCCATCTTTGACACCTCTCTCCTGTGAACTAATCTAAGTATGTTCTGTTAGCTAGCGAGAAATAATATTCTTAGAGTTAATTAAAATGGGCTACCGAGAGTGTTAAGGCCTGGGACACACTACTGTTGGGTTGTCTCTTGAAATTGTCATGTATCTGCTTAGCTATAACTGAGCTTGCTCCCTCTCCAGCTCCAGATGATTACACAAGCCTAAGTGCGACCCACACCTTCACACCAGGAGGGGGAACCAGGATCCAGGAAGTGCTCGACGATTCAAATATCATCTTTGTTTCCTCGACCTTAATCTCCTATATACCACTATTGGTGGTCCTTTATATTCTGTTCTTCGTTAAGTGTTTGAAAGAGCCATCGCCCCGTTTAACTTATTAACCCTCGGCGCGCATGCGCAGCGTGGGTTACAGTAGTCGTTCTGTCTGTCTGTCCGCGCGAGTTCTAGCACTACAGGCTACGAGGCGGCCAATGAGTGGTACCAACGGGTTGTGAACGACGAGAAGATTGATATTAACGTAGCGATTTCCCCGAAACGACTGCGTTCCAGAGATATGGCGTGAAAACAAGCGAAAAAGCCAACGCGCGCAGGCTCTAGCTATATAGCGCGCACGCGTCATGTCAATTAATCGCCGGAGCATGCGCTACGCCACGTTGGTTCCACTCAGTTTTGATCTCTGTTCCCTATATATGGATAAACGATAAACATGCTGAGCAAGGTATGTTCGCAATGTAGCATAATAATTCAGATGGCGAGCAGTTAGTGGTTGCGGCCTTTGCCTTCCCATCTATACAACGTCTGGCGAGAGCATTGAAACACAGAAGAGCAGATAGATTGAATAAAGCAAATATGAGAGCCTCTGAAACACCTGAGCTATTGCTCTATAACCGCCAATACCAGGAATGCGCGGACACGCGCAATATTTATTTACGACGAATGACGTAGCCCAGAGGGAAAACATAAATGTATGCAACGCAATGGAAGGCCAAAATGTGAGAAGCTCTTTCTACGTTTCTATATGCAGGAAAAAACTTCCGAGCATCTGAAGATATTCATCAACCATTACCTATGTACCATCCACTAAGCCAACATATGGTCAACTGCAGTTCTACAGGCTAGGCCAGAGACACGAACGGCCGTGCACCTCACCACGCCATAACGCCTGTACATTTCAAATCAAAATTTCACGGAGTACCCGTTTTTAAAAACTTGTTTTTGTATTTGTGTGTAACTATTTTGACTTTCCGAGCATCTAAAATATAAGTTAAAAAGCTGTTTCTTTTGAGTACTCAAAAAAATATACAGCCAGGCCTACACGGATTAGGCCAGATGCAGGGGGAAATCGCTTATTTTTGTAGAGATACTATACAATACATACGGAGCGGCTTGGAGAGCCGACGGAAACTTTCAGGAACGTACCACTGGCTAAGCCTGGCTAGCTCTGAGATGAGATTGTTCATCTGGTTTCTAAGCTAACCAAATAAGAGATCACCTGTGGTGTGGAGCCGAATAGATCTCAGACCACCAACACACGGTGCATCGGACCGATCCTCTATACTTCGGTTCCACTACTTCTAGCTACGCTTATACACAACACTCATAGCGATCCCGATGGTAAAGATAAGCTGAGATGAACACTCACTGGGCTTAGGTGCACCGCTACAGAGTTTTTCCCCGCTACTCTAAGGTAATACCTAGCTCTGGCTACTACAGTCACCGCTCACACGCTGATGCGTCCATTCGGCGCAACCGAAACTCCGTTCATCTATACTGCCAGACGACGCGAGTGTTTCAGTTAGTACGCTACCTGCATACCAGTAGTGGAACCTTCACACGGTGTTATCTGTACTGGCTTGTTGTGCGCCATGTAAACATGTAAACCAGCTTTGTTTACGTGTTATTCTCGTCGCGCATGCGACAGAACGGCGTTACCATAGCTACGGGCATCTCTATCTGAAGCGCACTCAGTATTCTCAAGGAGACAGTGGATACGCCAGCTCTTCGC